TTAGCATACCAATTTTCAGCTAACTTGTCGTATGGGTCATAAGTTAAGTAGTGCAGGAATAACGAGAGCTTGCCTAACATACTCTTTGAAAAACGAAACAATTACAAGAAGGTGCGCATGATGTCAACGACCATCAGCAACATGCACAGCCTCATGGTGGCTGTCTTCCTCACCGTCCTGAAAATCATACATACAGTAGAGTACAGAACAACAAGGATAGTCAAGGCTTGTTTGCTGCTACTTCAAGTTTCACACTCTCGCAATCATCAGGCAAGAGAGAGGGAGGGGGGGGGGGGAGCTGATGCTCGTGAGAGCATGAAACTTGAAGTAGCACCAAACAAGCCTTGATTGTCCTTGTTGTTCTCTATTTCGCTCTGCCTCTGCGGTGTTGGGTACATCCTTCGCTGACACAGTACAGTCAAAAAGAAGATTTTGTAGAATCTTGCACTTGAAAACACCGCCCTTCCGGCAACAGGCTCTCAGCTGTACCAAATAAATAACTTTTCAGCGCGAAATATTGGCAAAGTTATTTATTTGGTGCAGCTGAGAGCCTGTTGCCGAGTTAGCGGTGTTTTCAAGTGCAAGAAATGCGCTGCAATGGAGTTTGGGAATTCTGAAGAAACGTTTTGTAGAATCTGGCCATTCATTACATATAATGTTGTTGATATACTTGAACAATCACTTCTTCTCATTGCCTCTGCCTCCGCCGGGCCCCAAAGCACAACCGTCCTGCTCGCCATCATCATCATCATCATCATCATCATCATCATCATCATCATCATCATCATCATCAGGCTTATGAACATCATCATCATCATCATCATCATCATCATCTGCGTTGCCGAAAAATATTAGTAGTAAAAATCATCATTGCGTTGGATTCATCATCGTCATCATCATCATCATCATCATCTGGCGGAGCATGGCTTTCGTCTCACCAAGCGTGACTTCCGGGATGCTCTGGCATTGAGATATGCATGGCCGCTAGCCAATACACCAGCAACCTGTGTGTGTGGTGAGCTGTTCTCAGTTGAGCATCAGCTATGTTGCGCCAGGGGCGGCTTCCCGACACTTCGTCATAACGAGATACGTGACCTGCTGGCGAGGGAATTGACTGAAGTCTGCACTGCCGTTTCGACAGAACCAGCGCTGCAACCTCTTTCTGGTGAGAGGTTTCCTCTTCGGTCAACGAACCGCCGAGAGGATGCGCGCCTGGACATAGCCGCTCGAGGGTTTTGGACCCGTGGGGAGGAAGCTTTTTTTGATGTAAGGGTATTTTGCCCAGATGCTCCTTCCTACGGGTCCAGAACCCTTCCTGCATTGTACCAGCAGCACGAGCGGCGGAAGTGGAACGAATATGGGCCAAGAGTCACAAATGTAGAAAGAGCCGCTTTCACACCTCTCGTGTTCTCTGTGCATGGTGGTTGTGGGAGGCTGTGCAATGTGTTCCTCAAGAGACTGTGCCAGATGCAGGCCGAGTCATCGGGATCTCACTATTCCCAGGTCATTGGTTTACTCCGCTGTCGGCTGTCTTTTGCTTTGCTGCGTGCTGCTGTGTTGTGCATACGTGGGGCTCGGTCACGGTACCACCATCCGGCGAGATGTTTTCATGATGTCTCGATTGCCGTGGCCGAGTCAGGTCTAGTTTGTTAAGTATCGTGCTGTGTCCTGACTGTGCATGCGGGATTGGTATGGCGCTTACCCTTTTGTTGCTGTTTTGTTGCTTTCATGCCTTTAAGCATGTAATTGTGTTCAATTGTTGTATTTCATGGAAAAACGATCTTTGCGTTGGATTCATTTAAACTATTATTTGTGTAGGGTTCCACTCCTTCATCTTGGGAAATTGTGTTTTGTTTGCCCAAAGAAGTGGCTTCATCATCATCAAAAAAAATCATCATCATCAGGCTTATGAACATCATCATCATCATCATCATCATCATCTGCGTTGCCGAAAAATATTAGTAGTAAAAATCATCATCATCATCATCATCATCATCATCACAGCTTTTTTTGATGTAAGGGTATTTTGCCCAGATGCTCCTTCCTACGGGTCCAGAACCCTCCCTGCATTGTACCAGCAGCACGAGCGGCGTAAGTGGAACGAATATGGGCCAAGAGTCACAAATGTAGAAAGAGCCGCTTTCACACCTCTCGTGTTCTCTGTGCATGGTGGTTGTGGGAGGCTGTGCAATGTGTTCCTCAAGAGACTGTGCCAGATGCAGGCCGAGTCATCGGGATCTCACTATTCCCAGGTCATTGGTTTACTCCGCTGTCGGCTGTCTTTTGCTTTGCTGCGTGCTGCTGTGTTGTGCATACGTGGGGCTCGGTCACGGTACCACCATCCGGCGAGATGTTTTCATGATGTCTCGATTGCCGTGGCCGAGTCAGGTCTAGTTTGTTAAGTATCGTGCTGTGTCCTGACTGTGCATGCGGGATTGGTATGGCGCTTACCCTTTTGTTGCTGTTTTGTTGCTTTCATGCCTTTAAGCATGTAATTGTGTTCAATTGTTGTATTTCATGGAAAAACGATCTTTGCGTTGGATTCATTTAAACTATTATTTGTGTAGGGTTCCACTCCTTCATCTTGGGAAATTGTGTTTTGTTTGCCCAAAGAAGTGGCTTCATCATCATCAAAAAAAAAAAAAAAAAAAAATCATCATCATCAAATCATCATCATCATCATCATCATGTGGCCAAGCCGCTTTTACGGGCAACAATATTATGAATATGAAACGCAAGGTATTGTAAGAGCAATTTTCTGAAAATAATGTTAAAACACGAAATAATTTATAGAAATGCATTATCACACCGTAGCCACTTTTATGGGCAAATTCCAATACAAGGCAATAGGAACACGAGGATGAAGTTAACCTTTTAAAACCCAAAGAAAAGACAAAAGATGTCAACAATAGAACTACAAATATAAAAAACAAACATCAGGTCATAAAAACTACTTTAAAACATAACCAAAAGACAGCAAAGCGTGGAGAATGAGATTGACTTACAAAACAAAAGTAGTCCTACTATGCTTACAAAACAGAATCTACCTACACCACTAAGGAAGAATCATCATCATCATCATCATCATCATCATCATCATCATCATCATCATCATCATCATCATGAGAAAAGCCTCTTTTACGGGCAAAGCAAATGTATATCATTACAATATGTAAAGTGAACAGGGGAAATCAACACAAAACCAACCGGAAAATGATGAAACACAAAAGCAGTCAAGGAAGTAAATCAATACAAAAACAAGCAATGAACACAGAGTAATAAAAGGGGAAAAAACCAAATAGCATTATATTAAGTTGAGGCCAAAGGCAGCACCCTACTCCGCCTGGCGGCACTGGGCCAGAAATGAGTTCGGCTGTCGCCTCTTGCCGTACGAACCGCGGCAACCGCGGAAGCAGGTGACTGCCCACCGCAGCAAGCAGAAAGACAAACGGGTGCGTAGTATGCCCATTACTAGTGGGTACTTCAGTTCAGTATGGCGCTCAACAAACAGGGAGGCCAATGATTTCAGGAATTGAGTAGTTTCTGGGCCACTAAAGCCGTACGTCGAGAACACAAGTGGCGTGAAGGAGCCGCGCTCCACGTTAACCACACATCATCATCATCATCATCATCATCATCATCATCATCATCATCATCATCATCATCATCATCATCATCATCATCGATCAGTGGAGAACGGTTGGCAATTCTGAGGCTCTTGGTTTGCTTGGTTGACTTGGTTGCTGGAGAGGAACTGAGAAGCTTGACTTGGCTGGCGCTGCTGTCTGTTGCTGTTCGGTAGAGTGGTCATCACATTTTATCCTTTGGAGGCACCCAATGGCCACCCAATGGCCAGTGTTAGACCAGTGAGGAGAGGAGTGTGACTGCCTTGCTGCTGGAGGCAGTTTCTGACTCGATTGGTGACTCTGGTCGTACAGTCCTGATGCAGTCGTCACCTCAGTCATCCTCACACCTCCTATCCCTGCCAGTTCTGTCGCGATGCCGTGCTGCAACTGCCAGATTGGTCGCAAATGTGTTAGATGCAGATGTGTTCGTGCGAAGAAGCGCTGTGTGGACTGCTACCCTGGTAGAGCTACCCCTAGCCTTTGTCACAACCAAACTGAATCCATCGCCTCGCAGCCTGCTGGCGCTGTTGGCGCTGGTATTGTGGTCAGTGGTGGTGGAGGATGTTCAGCCAGCCAGCCATCTCAGCGAAACATATCACCGGAGGATAGCTCTGATGAATCCACTGCATCTGCAGATGAGGGTTGTGGCAGTGGCAGGCGCGATGTCGACTCCTGGCTGCGTGTAGATCACCCACTTGGGATTCATCCCAGCTCTGATTCCTCGCCATTCTCCCCAAGTGACATAGTCGAGTGCGGTCTAGCCAGCGCGGTGCCATGTTGTCGCTGCCAAGCAGGGGGTACGTGCATACGATGCGCTTGTGTCAGGGCTGGCAGAGTTTGTAGTAACTGCTATCCTGGGAGGGGTCGACTTGGCACCTGT